CTAATACTATAGCAATCCCAAGAGGCACAAAACAAGGATGCCCACTGTCTCCCTTCTTATTTATCTTGGCTCTGGAACCCTTAGCAATCCGAATCCGAGCAGCCACAGACATCAAGGGAGTGGAAATAAAAGGCAGAACCTATAAATTTGCAGATGACCTAATGCTTACAACACCAGACCCCATAAACATAGCAGCCACCCTAACCAGAGAACTCAACACATTTCAATGGTGTCGGGCCTACAGGTAAATTTGGCAAAATCTGAGGCTATGTGCTTCAACACCCCACCTCCCCATACCCAAAAAGAATTCACCAACACCACCAAGCTAAAACTTTGCCACACCAAGTTCAGATACCTATTTGTACCTAGGGGTACAAATAATCATAAACCTCTACAAACTATACAACCACAACTACAACCCCTTATGGCGACAAATTAACAAAGACTTGAGGGGATAGAACAACACCAACTTCACTCTCACAGACAAAATAGCCATGATCAAAATGATCACCCTCCCAAAACTAACCTACCTATTCCAAACCCTCCCAATCTGGATTCCCCCAGCCCAACTTCGCAAATGGCAGAAAAAAATACACTCATTTATCTTCTCACACAAAAAAACAAGAATTATGGCGTTTGGAACTTAACAGGTTAAGTTGTTCCCATGATGCCTCAGCATTCTGACGTCAGCTTTCGAAGCTGGGAGGAGTTTTCTCTCTTCCTCTTGGTCTTTTGAGAGGGAAGGACGCAGTTTGTCATGGCTGCGGTGAGTCCAGGAGTTTTCTGGGGAATGTCGGAATAAAGGACTGTAAACAGACAAACCGGGCTTTGTGTGTTTGTCGGAAGCTAAGTGAAGCTAAGTGACAGTTTTTACCGCTGTGTTCAACTCTGCTGAGGCGTGACTGGAGATACTGGAGACGGAGCAGAGTCTTCGCAGGGAAGTGTGCCGGACCGGCCATAAAGAGCTAATTGGGGACCATAAATCAATTAGCGGGGTCACGCAAAATCAATAAATCGTACAGGTTATGGGTAGCCTAATCACCGATCGTAAAGCTGTCACTGGAGGCTGCCGGAACGCTTTGAAGTCTGCGGTTTGAAGCAGAGAAGCGTTCGGAGATTTTTGCCTGTTGCTAAGAGGCAAGGAGTAGCTGCGGAGCTCAGAGCAGCTGAGAACGGGTGCTGAATAAGCTGGTGAGTACAGCTTGGGGCCCCTTGGGAAAACGGAAGACAATGGCAGACAGCCAGGTCTTGGAGGACATTCCGTTTGGAAGGCTCACTCTAAGAAGTTGGGCAAGGGCGTAAAGTCAGCAAGGGCTGTCTGGGATGTGCTGTGAAACTTCAGCAGGAGGCCAGAGCCCGGGAGAAGGAATGAGAAACCTAGAGATGGCTGGAGCCCCTGTTCCTGATGTTTTAGCCTCAAGGAGCGCTGGTGAGCAGGTCGGGGGGGGCGAAGAATTCCAAAGGCACGTTTAAAAGGTTTTCCACTGTACGTGCTGGAATGGAGTGGCGGTTCAGAGGGGGCGGAGCTGGCAAGGAGTGCTTTTCCGGAAGAAGGAGGGCCAGGCCAGCTGGAAGGAGCCCCGGGCAGTGTTTTTCCACTGGTCGCCGTTGCTACGTTTGTAATTCAACGGGACACTTGCGTCGAGATTGCCCCCACCGGAGCAGAGAGGCAAGGCAGGATGTTGCCAAGTTTGCCAAGGTCAACCAGCTGAGTTCCCATGGGAATCAGTCTCGGAGAGGAGGCCAGCGTGGGAACGCAAGGGAAGGACAAGGCTCAGACACTGGGGAGGGTTGTTTTCTTATCACTGCTTCTATGGCAACTGTGAAGAACAACTCCAGCCAGGACACGGTGACGCGCTGGGTTTTGGATACTACTGTCAGTCGTCACCTGATAAGCAAGCCTGCTGGCGAAATGCGGAACTGCAGGGCTGTTTCAACTGGAATGACTGTTATGTTAGCAGACGGAACGAGAAAATCAGTTTCTGATGTGGCTAACATGTTTTTTTCTCCTTTACAGGAGGAGCTAGAGGTCTACGTTGTGCCGGGACTGAATTGTTGTCTGTTATCTGTACCAGCTCTTTTGAAGCAGGGGTACAAAATTTGTTTTGAAAATGACACCTGTTCCATTTTCAGAGGGGGGAGACAACTTGTCAACGTGGAAAGCAAGAACAATCTCTTTGTTCTGGAGACACCTCTGGAGGGTGGTGGGAATGCTGGAAAAGCACAGGCGCAGTGTGCTAAGGTTCCCAGTCATGATTCATGTGTTCATGTATGGCACAAGAGAATGTCTCATGCCAGTGTGGAAAATGTGCAGAAGTTGCCCAGGTGCACAAAAGGGTGCAAACTCCGGGAATGTGGGAGGAGGTCCCTAGGGTGCAGGGCATGCAAAGGTGCAAAGGTACATGGTTTTCCCGGGTTTGGGAGGGTAGCCAAAGAGCCCTTTGAGCTTGTTCACACAGATCTGTCAGGACCCATGAGGTGTGAGAGTCTGGGTGGGGCCAGGTTTCTGCTGACGCTGACAGATGACCACAGCCAGGTTGGCTGGTGTTTCTCTCTCAAATCACAGGGGGAGGCGGCGCAACTGATCCAGGATTGGGTTGCGGAGGTGGAACTAAGGTTCTCCACCAGGGTGCAAGGGTTCAAGAGCGACCGAGGATCACAGTTTACTGGGTCTGCTCTGAAGGAGTTTTTCAAGGAAAAGGGAATACGTCACCAGGTGACGGGTGCAAAGTCTCCTCAAGAGAGAGGCGTGGCAGAGCACAGGAGTGAAACACTGGCTGAAGCTGTCAGGGTTTTGCTGTGTGACTCTGGGCTGCCTCAAAGCTTTTGGAGTGAAGCTTGGAAAGCTGCCAACTTTGTTTTTAACAGGTCCTATAACCACGTTATAGGGGAAACACCGTTTTTTCTGTTGCACCGGAAAAAGCCACAGGTGCATTTCTTCCGCGTGTTCGGGTCCAAGGCTTTCGTGCCGGTACCAACAGCTCAGCGGAAGGCAGGTGGTCCAAAGGTTCAGGAAATGATCTTCTGTGGATATGATCCTGCAACCAATGGGTGGAAGTTTGCATACCCAGAGGGTGATCAAACCAAGCTGCTGGTCAGCAAGCATGCTGAGTTCTGTGAGCAGGGTGGTTGGTCAAGGCCTGGGGATGGTCCTGATTTTCTCTCAGAATGTCTGTCTGATTCTGAGGAGGAAAGGGAGGAAAGGGAGGCAGAGGCTGATCCCGGTGATGGGGACCAGGTCCAGGATCAGGGTTCAGAACCCGGTGATGGGGACCAAGTCCAGGATCAGGGTTCAGGGCAGGTTTGGGCATCTCCAAGGGTTGTGAAAGGAGTGTCCAGGTGTGAGGCTTCAACTCCGGTTAGCGTAATGGAGAAAGCTCACAGACGGGTTGTCAAGTCAGAGGGGGAAGAGTCTGACGGAGAAGACACAACTGCTGGCCCAAGTGGGTCAGAGGGAAGTTCAGATGAAACACCTCAGTTTGTGCCCAGGCGGTCTTCTCGGGCCACGAAGGGTGTTCCACCTGAGAAGGATCAGGTCACGGGTGCGTGGGAAAGGTTCGCACAGTGTGATTCTGGGAATGTTGAAGGGGTTCAACAGGTGCCTGGGAAAGATGCCGGGAAGGGGCACAAGGCAAAGGGGAAGGTGTTGAACTCAAAAAGGTCTTGTCAGAATGTGCGGCAAGAGGGGGTATGGGGTTTGGAACTTAACAGGTTAAGTTGTTCCCATGATGCCTCAGCATTCTGACGTCAGCTTTCGAAGCTGGGAGGAGTTTTCTCTCTTCCTCTTGGTCTTTTGAGAGGGAAGGACGCAGTTTGTCATGGCTGCGGTGAGTCCAGGAGTTTTCTGGGGAATGTCGGAATAAAGGACTGTAAATAGACAAACCGGGCTTTGTGTGTTTGTCGGAAGCTAAGTGAAGCTAAGTGACAGTTTTTACCGCTGTGTTCAACTCTGCTGAGGCGTGACTGGAGCTACTGGAGACGGAGCAGAGTCTTCGCAGGGAAGTGTGCCGGACCGGCCATAAAGAGCTAATTGGGGACCGTAAATCAATTAGCGGGGTCACGCAAAATCAATAAATCGTACAAGAATAAGCCCCAAATACCTGCACCTCCCCTCCTCAGGAGGAGGATGGGGAATCCCCAACATAGAATCATATTACATCGCCAAGCAAGTACGCTACATTCTAGAAGACGAGACAAAACAATGGGTACACCTGAAGAGAGACACAATTGAAAATACCCTCATCACAGGATACCCATTCCTCCCAAACAAAGGAAAATCCCCACATCACTAAACAGGTTAACACAGACCATGCTTAAAAATGGAAGAAAGAAGCAGGCAAACTGTCCCCAACCCCATCCCCACTAAACCCCCTGGCTCACCACCCACTATTCCACCACGCAGCACAAAACTTCCAGGTAAAAACCTGACAAGCCAAAGGCTTATCCCACCTAGCAGACTTCTACAAAAATAGCAAACCCACATTGACACAAAAAATACAAGACAAACAAGGGGACACCCAAATGCCCTGGCTAGCACACTGCCAATTACATGCCTTCTTAAACAATCCACTAGTAAAACCAGCAGCAACCATGCCCTTGACAACCTTCGGAAACCTCCTCCTCACCACAGAGGGACACAGCAAGGGGGTGGCATCCACAATATACAAAATACTGCTCCCAAATCCCACAAACCCCCTTGACATAATCAAAAAACAATGGGAGGACGACATAGGCTATGAAATAAACCCCACCCAATGGACTAGAATGTGGTCTAAATCCCCTTCTTTTCTTCCTAACCTAACACTGTATGCAACACTAACATCTCACAACAAATGAAACTGATCTGTAGAAAACACAACTTGAAAAAAGGGACAATGCACGTATTTTTGTAAACCAGGAAATCTTTAATAATATTAAATTATATAATTATATAAATTATATAAATTAATAATATTATAATAACAACAACAATGCTTCGCATGCCGTAAAGTCTGGCTTACCTCAGGTATGCAGTCATCATGAGTCACCACTCTCACTATGTCATCTAGTGGAAGAAGGGAGTTACATTTTATTTCAGTATAAACGTTCTTCCCTTCTGTACATGCTGCTAGCAGTTCCACCAGGGTGATGTGGTAAACCAAAGGGCCGCTTTCGTCCACTCGATCCCGCTCAGAGCACATCATTTGGAGGAGGATTGGAAATGATGCTCTATCATTGTAAAACACCAGCACGTCTTCACCCCCATTAACTAGCTGAAATTATAACAAGAAATACTTTGAATCTGTTTAAATAGTTCAGTCCCCCACCCCACCTCAATACACATTTATATAACATTTATAAGCAACAAGATTTCCTGGGGACCACTTAAGAGCAAGGGCACCAACTGGGGGGCAGGGGACTGAGGGCCCCTCAAAATTTCACGGTGGCTGTGCACGCATGCTGCACTATGTACTCACCTCACTCGTACACACCGTGCAGCGTACTTGTGTCACTTGCATACATCATGCAGCGTGCAAACAACCCAGCAGCACATCACTTGGTGTGTGTGAGTGACAAGGCAGCATGCTTGCTTAAGAGAATCAAGCTGAGGATGGAAAGCTTAAGCTTTGGCTCTAATTCCTCCAAGTCACTTGTCGGTAAACCCTATTGCCACAGGTGTTGCTTGGTCCACTTTCTTCTTTCGTCCTTGGATTGAGAAGTTCTGAAGCCAGCTAGTACCTTTTCAGAGGACTGAATTCCGCAGTGTACATACGAAATACACTTCTGACTGCCTGTTCCATCAAATACCAGATTTATGGCCACAAAGAGCAGGGCTTTTTTAGCTGTAGGGTCTGCAGTGTAGAAATTCACTCCCCAATAGAACTCACCAGATTTCTTTACTTCATGGTTGTATTTTTGAAGGCTGGTTAAAACTATTTTATCCCTGCAACTATATTTTCTTTAGAAAAATATAGTTTAGAAGAAAGGAATATAGCACAGTGGTAGAGCACCTGTCTTGCATGCAAAGAGTCCCAGACTCCATCCCTGGAATCTCCAGATACAGTTTGGAAAGACTCCTGTCTGAAACCCTGCAGAGCCATTGTCAGGCAGGATATGGAACAATATTCTAGTTCAGTGCAATGCTCCTCTTGCAGTCTGAGCCCATCTCTGTGCTAATCCAGATGCTAATTTGATCATAATCAAATAGTTGGCTCTTCTGTTCTTGTATTTTAAGTTTTTAGTTTATTTTACTGTTTTTGTTGCATTTATCTGGTTTTATTATCTTTTTCCTCTTCTCCAGGTTGTGCTAATGAGGATTCTGTCTGCTGAGTATTTTGTCCCTGCAGTGGGAGACAGTTTCTGCTCCAGGGGGACGGCCTGTTGGTGAAATGTGTCCCCCTCAGGTCAGAAACAAGAGGGGAGTGTATACACCCACAATGAGATATGGAGTGGCTTGATTGTTGATTTTTCAGGGCTTTTGCTGCAGTGTTAATTGGTGTTCCCAACACATATACAGTATGATTGAGGAGTATTTTATGATTTTGCTATTTTATATTCTTTTGATTGCATTCTTTATACTTTTCTTGTATAGTTATTTCAAATTAACATGCTATTCATAGCTTTAGGGACCTTTGGGCCAAAACCCATTGTATAAAAAAACACACGTAACATCTTGCTTCGTAGTTAGAATAAGCCACTTTCAGAGCTGAAGCTTTGAAGATTTACACTCTGATATGTTCAAAATTAAATAGGGAGGGACCCATCTAACAGTATTTCTGTAGTTACCTTTTATGCCTCATAATAACAACACACATAGGTGCATCTGGAGATGGGAAAGGGATGACTTATTCCCTCACTCCAGTCATGACTGATGAGGTTCAAAATCCACTTTAAAACTTCTGTCATTAACTACTCCATCTACAGACAATCCAAAAATGGCAAATAAATACGTGTGAATTGCTTTTTTGTCCATTATTCTTATTAGCTAGCTATTTTTACATGAATTCAAACTTATTTTCTACCTTTTAGAACGGTAAAAACAGTGGTCTGGTTTCCACATGTTTTATTAAGCCATGGTTTGTTAGCTAAACTCTGCCCAATTTGGTTTGTTTCCTGCCAAGAAACTATGATCCGAAGCCATGGTTTGTTGCCTTGGTTTGGTTAACTATGACTTGATGTCACAGGCAAACACAGCATCTGTAAGGAGTGGATGCTGCCAAAACTAGCAGAGATAACGCTCCAGGCACACAGCCATTTCTGTCTTGTAGATTTATTACCAAAAGTTCAAAGCAGTTACAAGAGTTCAAACAAATGCGTCCATGCTCATCTCAGTCAAATGTCTCGACTGAAGATTTGTGACGTCTTTTTCCCCAGCATGCCCATCGGTGCAGGGCACGCCTCCTACTTCCTTTGTTCTGTGAGTAGCTCGTTCCGGGGACTGGTTGCCCCCTCCCTATTTCCTCCTCTGAGTCGGATGATAAACTGCTAATGAGCTCTTTCGGCTCTCTGTAATTGCCTCTCTCCCCCCTCGTCTCTCTAACCGTCTCCCTTTCCCTGACAGCATCCATCTCTAACCATGGTTGGTTTGTCCACCGCACCACAGATGCTCACCATGCTAAAAGGCAGGAGACAAGAACAACAGTAAAACAAACCACATACTGAGGAAAAAATCCATAATTTATTTGATCATCTGTGGGACAAGTAATAGTTAACCATTAGTAAACAAACCTTGGCATGGTTTTATGTGCAAAAGAGGTCACAAGCTCATCTGCTGAACATGGATATCAAGTCCCATTGACTTCAATAGGATTGAATTCTCCAGATGCTTACCTCTCCCACTGAAATTAGTAAGATTACAAGAGGTATGATTCAGCCAAAGAACTTAAGCTCTTTTAAATCTCATTGATTTCAATAAGCATGTTCTTAAAGGTAAAGGTACCCCTGCCCGTACGGGCCAGTCTTGACAGACTCTAGGGTTGTGCGCCCATCTCACTCAAGAGGCCGGGGGCCAGCGCTGTCCGGAGACACTTCCGGGTCACGTGGCCAGCGTGACAAGCTGCATCTGGCGAGCCAGCACAGCACACGGAACGCCGTTTACCTTCCCGCTAGTAAGCGGTCCCTATTTATCTACTTGCACCTGGGGGTGCTTTCGAACTGCTAGGTTGGCAGGCGCTGGGACCGAGCAGCGGGAGCGCACCCCGCTGCGGGGATTCGAACCGCCGACCTTTCGATCGGCAAGCCCTAGGCACTGAGGCTTTTACCCACAGCGCCACCCGCGTCCCACGAAGCATGTTCTTAGCTCACTCCAAAAGCAATCTAGAGGGATCACTACTTTAGCTGGAACATTTTATTTGATTACACCTGACTTTTATTAAAGAATCCTAGCACAATCTATTCCCATGGACTCCATTTTATTCCCACACATATCCAATCCATTTGTGATCATCAACACATATTGCCCTATAATAAACAAAGGTCTGAACACGGAATTCAAATATTTGTGTTGCACAGATTGTCACCTGCTACCATAGTTATTTGCTTTGAGCGCTACAGAAGGCCTCACCAAATTAGAATCTCTGTGTGCTAAAATCCTAGTTATATGTGGCAACATTCACACTGCCAAATCTATGATATAGGCAAACCACACTGGAGTATAAGAATATGGAAAGCTGCATTATACAGAGTCAGATCATTGGTCCATCTAGCTCAGTATTGTTGACAATGACTGCCAGTGGCTTTCTGGGGTTTCAGACAGGTGACATTCCCAGCCCTGCCAAGAAATCCTGGAGATTGAACCTCAAACCTTCTGAAAGCAATGTAAATACTCTACCACTGAGCTATGTAAGGCCCTTCCCCAATCAACGGGGAATCAGTGGCAACAGTGGGTGTGGAAATTCAGCTGTTGTACCACTATTTGCATATCTTTCCTCCAATTTTCTCTCCTCTCCTTTGTGTTTACCCACATTGTTGAAATTCAGAGCTGGATCTTTCGTGTCACACTGAGATGTAGCAACACTCAAGGATAGCAGCAATTCAAAAGCACAGTTCTCTGTACATGAAAAGGTGTCAATAAAAAAGGGATTCAGTAGATTGAAAATCTCTTCCTCAGAGCCACCTACACATGCTCAGCAAACACACATGCTATACGCTTCTTGAGGATAGGGCCCTATCTTTTTCACTCATACTGTATATAGAAACTGCTAAGTGCCTTGTAACTTGATGAAATGATGATAATGAAAGTGTAGAAGAAACTGCATGTGTCAAACATATCGAGTGTAGCTGAGTTAACATACCTCTGTCATTACCGTATCTTGGCACTTCTTAACATATTTGCCGTCTGCCTTGACAATGGTTTGCAGAAAGCGCAGATATTCCACGTGGCGGCCATGCGTCTCGATGCAGTGAACAAAATGCTGCACCACCCGCTCACTAATTTCATTGCACAGATGGTAATTGTTTGTGAAGATGTGTCGCATGGTTTCAGCCTCAAGAAGCTAATTTAAAAACAATCAAAAAGCCACTCAGAAAAACAGCAAAGATGGTGCTTTCACAAAATTCTGACTGAAGTAGTTAGAACACATGGGAATCTCAAGTTACTACCACATAATAAAACTGCACTGGTAGGAACTGTCAGAGAAAGCTGCAGGGAAGACTTCCCAATGCCTCCAGGTAAGGTAAATAAAATAGATCTGAGATTTCATTTCTTGTGTTGTTTCTCAATATAGCTGTAGCTGCATGCCTGGTGTCGCCTTGATCCATTTAGCTTAGCATTTTTTACAATAAGTGGCACCAGCGCTCCAGGGTTTATTTCCCGTCCTGATTGAAGATGTCAGGGATTGACCTCAAATGTTTTGAATGCAAAGCAGGTGCTCTGCTGCAGAGATACAACCCAAGACTGACCTTTGAGCAGATCCTCGGACTCAGTAGGGCAACCAGTAGGGCAGGAGCCTCAAGTGACCCAACCAAGTTAGCCAATATAAAGCTTGTTACATGGGTATGTTGTGGGTGTAGTCAGAGCAGAATAAGGGTATTAAAAGACGGTGTTTAGGTGTGGAAACACCCTGGAACCAAGGAAAAATTCAAGTCCTGGCCACTGGACTAGAAGGGAAGGGACAAGTGTCATAACTGGACTCCCATTCCAAGGTCCTTTAATGCAGAGCTACCAAGAAAGGAAATCATGTTGTGCTACAGGGCGTTCTGCTGAGGAAAGATCACTGGTGGGACCATGGGTACTATACTTGCACATTTTATTTAACATGTGATGTGACTACTGGCTATGTTACTCTTCAACCATGCAAGCAACCCCAAGTGTCCAGTCTTAGAAAAAATAGTTTTAAGGGGGGGGGCGGGAGGTGTAAAGTCACATGGTAAATAAAAATACATTCTAAATTTGAGTGTGCTCACAATTCTCCTTCATTCAGCCACAGCTTGGTGTTTCAAGTCATGGGTCAAATTTTCCTGTGTCTGACATCTTATATGACATCAAGTCTTAGGGAAGGGAAGGTAAAGGTAAAGGGACCCCTGACCATTAGGTCCAGTCGTGACCAACTCTGAGGTTACGGCTCTCATCTTGCTTTATTGGCTGAGGGAGCCGGCGTTTGTCCGCAGACAGCTTCCGGGTCATGTGACCAGCATGACTAAGCTGCTTCTGGTGAACCAGAGCAGCGCACGGAAATGCCATTTACCTTCCCGCCGAAGCGGTACCTATTTATCTACTTGCACTTTGATGTGCTTTCGAACTGCTAGGTTGGCAGGAGCAGGGACCGAGAAACGGGAGCTCACCCCATCACAGGGATTCGAAATGCCGACCTTCCGATCGGCAAGTATTAGGCTCTGTGCTTTAACCTACAGTGCCACCTGCGGCCCATTTAAAGGTAGAGGGACCCCTGAGCATTAGGTCCAGTCGTGACCGACTCTGGGGTTGCGGCGCTCATCTCGCTTTATTGGCTGAGGGAGCCGGCGTACAGCTTCTGGGTCATATTGCCAGCATGACGAAGCCGCTTCTGGCGAACCAGAGCAGCACACGGAAACGCCGTTTACCTTCCCGCCGGAGCGGTACCTATTTATCTACTTGCACTTTGACATGCTTTTGAACTGCTAGGTTGGCAGGAGCAGGGACCGAGCAATGGGAGTTCACCCCGTTGCGGGGATTCGAACTGCCGACCTTTTGATTGGCTAGTCCTAGGCTCTGTAGTTTAACCCACAGCGCCACCCATGTCCCATTTAGGGAAGGTAGTTAACCCAAAACTTTCAGAGGCTTGACTGACATAATTAGGTATATAGGCTGGAGGTTCCCAACCACTGCATTATACACATATACACAAACACAAAGAGCAGCACACTGCTTTGCCAACCTATTTATATTCTCACTAACAAATCACTTCTAAAAGTCAAGGTAGTGAAAGAAAATGGAACAAGTGGCACTAAAACATCAGCAGCCCTATAGATGGGTTTCCCCAAGAAGTACCTTTGAGAAGTTGGTGCCTCTAAAGCATTTGCATACATTATATGCATACAGTATCAATCACCTGGGGCCTTATGAATGGCTCTGTTGGTGGTGGTGCCTCCACAAGAGGACTTTCTCAGTGGTGTTTTCCTGCTTATGGGATGCCTCCCTGGAGAGGTGTGTCTGTTCCTCTCAGTGTTAACCTTTACACAGCATTTTCAAATGTTGCTGCTCACCCAGGCATTTGATGTCTAAAATATATTGTTCCTGACCAACCCCGACATTATTTAGTTGTAAGAATGTTCGGTGGTTCTAAAATATTTTTAAATTTTCACATTGTTTTATACACTCTTGCTGTTTGCCACCCTGGGTTCCTTTGGGAGGAAATGCAGGATAAAAATCGGGTCACTAACCACCATCATATTATGCAAGTGCGTGGCAGGTGTTCTAAAAATAAGAAATCATTTCACTACCACAACCCAGATCTGATTTGGAAATGTGATTAGTTAATCAACCAATTAATAAATAAATAAATAAATAATATCCATAACCAACTTAAGATTTCTTTAATCAGATGACAGGCCTAATTATAGTGAATTAAAATAATAAAGATAAGAGCATAGTCTCCTGTGTTGTCTGCTTCTGAAAGATCTGATCTTACACATACCACACAAACACACACACAACTAAGCTAAGCAATTTGATCACTTCCAGTTCTTTTGCAGCGGGAAAACAAAGGTGGTGGCCCTAGTGATCAAATCTGAAGGTCACCAACTTACTGCCCTGCATATGTTTTGGACTGCTCCGACTCCTTATTCCTACCCTGGTCCACTGTTAGGGAAAAGGGATGTATCTGAATGTTTAGGTATTTGAATGCAACTCTTGGTAGTACAAATGACTGTTATGCAAGGGATTTATCATCAACTCAAAATACTCACACCAGGTGTTAAAAATAAGTTGAGGTGTTTATGAAGTAGAACTTGATTCTGAGGGTTTCCACGACAGAAGTTCTGAAGGAACAGGTGAGCTAAGTTCATAACTTCGTTCATCTTTTCATCAGTCTTTGTGTCAATTCATTTTTTCAAATGTAAAAGGAACAAACCAATAAATGGACCTGTTAAACACTTAACTGGAAATGTATAAACAATATCACTTCAAGCGGCAACAAACTTCCTTGTAGGTATGGAGTTTCTGTTTCTTCCTGTGTTCATCAATGTTACCTTATTCAGTTTACCTGGTTTGCTTATGTGTCTATTTATTTATTTATTTATTTATTTATAATATCCCACTTATCCTTGAATCAAAACAAAGGCATCTTAGAAATACTAAACAATACTAGAAATACTAGACAACATATGACAGAAACTTTTTAAAAGCTTTAAAAACTTTAAAAATAAATCTAAAAAGCAAACAGTTAATACTTTTCCAGCAGAGATTCAGTAGGAATCCTAACTAACTAACTAACTTTCAGGTGGCCCTTAAAAACCTTTTTATGCTAAAACAGGCCCATTCGGTTGTTTAAATTTTCTTCAGACAGGCCAGTCATTTTGTGATTGCATTGTTTTGTGTATTAAATTGTTGTACACCACCTTGATATTTCATACAAGTTTGCAGTCTGTAATTATTTTTACAAAGAAATTTAAAATAAAGTAAGTTAATAGTGCCTAGAGACAAGTTTTGCATCCATAGCAGTGATCAGAGGAGGAATGACCACTAGGAGGAGGCGCAGAGAGAAGAAACACCCTGGTGCATCTGCAACAGCACAAATGGACGCCTTCATTTGCCCCACCTGTAACAAAGCATGTCTCTCCCATATTGATCTTGATAGCCACGGCAAGTGCTGCAACCTTCCAACAATTTGACTTCACCCCCAAAAGTGCACTCCTCCACTGTCTCCCAAGACAGTCTGGGGTGTGGGGAAGGGGGACATGTCTGTTTGCGTCTACTAGGCTTCTTGTGGGACAAGACCAGGGACAAGACCAGGGCAACAGGGCCACTGCTAAGAAGTCTCTGCACAAGTTATTTGGTTTGCAGGGGGCAGGTTTATACTTTTGGTGAAACTTAAAACAGAACTCCTACAGAATTAACTAATAAATGAGGCATTGATATGAGGGATCATTTCAGGCATTCTAGAATGAATATATCAATTATCATTAAAGTGGTAACACTTAACCAACTGAAACTGATTAAAATTATTTAACTGATTTATTACAGTGATCCACAGGGGAGGAAATATTCCCAATAAATGGTGCCTACAGTGACATAACTATACATCATCACACAATGCGTGTGTGTGTGTGTTTTTAAGGAGTGTGCATTTTCTTTAAAACTATTGTTTTATTCATGTGTAAGTTTGATGAATTGATTTTGGTTCCTGATTTCTTTAGAATCAGATACAGTGGTACCTCGCAAGACGAATGCCTCGCAAGACAAAAAACTCGCTAGACGAAAAGGTTTTTTGTTTTTTGAGCTGCTTCGCAAGACGATTTTCCCTATGGGCTTGCTTCGCAAGACGGAAATGTCTTGCAAGTTTGTTTCCTTTTTCTTAACACCGTTAATACAGTTGCGACTTGACTTCGAGGAGCAACTCATAGAACGTGGTGTGGTAGCCTTTTTTGAGGTTTTTAAAGACTTTGGTGATTTTTGAAGCTTTTCCAAAACTTTCCCGACACCGTGCTTCGCAAGACGAAAAAAATCGCAAGACGACAAAACTCGCGGAACGAATTAATTTCGTCTTGCGAGGCACCACTGTAACAGCCTAACTGATCTGTAGAAAGGACGTTATGAAATACAGACAATGTGTCAGGGAAGAGTTAGAAGTTTCCAGTTTCTCAGAGGCAGAAAGCTTTCCCCAAGGGGGGAAGGAGAGCAGTGAACCTAATAGAAGAGAGTAAGAGGAACAACAGGGAGGGACCGGCTGTTCCCAGGAAAGGCCAGGGTTCAGTTCTAGCTCAGATTGGGAGGAGGGGAGAGATGCAAGCCAGCTCTAGCCAGGAGGTTAGAAAAAGAGCGGGAAAGCGAAGGGAAAGGCGCCTTCGCCATTTGGAGAGTGGCTGGTCATGGAGAAGCAGAGCTCAGAAGGTATCTGAAATAAATGACTCTGAGGAAGAATAGTTAAGAACCGTTTATAAGATTGTTTTGTTAATACGCAATAAAAAGTTTTATAAAAGAACAAGAAGCGTTTGCGTGGTGATCTGAAGAGGACAACGATCAGTCCTGACACAATGTATGTACTTTTTTAACCCAAGAAAATCTTGAATAAAAACAACTAAAAAAGAAAAGAGTAAGCCCTAATTAGAATGCAATAAAGATAACGGAAAGGTCAACTAAGTTTCTTCTGTTCCTGAAAGACACATTTCCAAATGACTAAGCAGCCAAGGAAATCTTTATTTTGCTCCTGCAAGTGTAGTCACACAGTTACCTTAAAATGTCTCAGTTCTAGTTTAAATGCCCGCAGCTGTATCCAGAGTAAGATATCTTAGGTCCCAATGAAAACAATGGGGAATGCTAGTCATGACTTAGGCAGCTGTGGGAAGGTCTCAGCAACAACTTCATGGGGGCAAGACCTACCAGAGATGAGTTGCTGTCTCTGACACTCCACCAAGTCTGTGCAAGATTGTCTTTTTGCTAATAAAGAGTTAACTTCAACTTGCTGGGTGTGTTTTACTGCTGGCTCGCCCCTGTCTCCTGCTGTACAAAGGTGACTGTCACATTCGTTGCTCCACCCCAACTACCTCTGGCCCTGCCCTCCATTGGCATGTGGTCCCCAGAAGATTGCCTATGAGCTATTGTGGCCCTTGGGTTAAAAAAGGCTCTTCAACTTGGCATAAACGTTAATTACCTTCTCATAGGGTATCTGCAGAAGATCCAACACCACACTGTGAGCCCCCATATTTTTAAGCAAGCGCTGCTGCTGATGACGACATTTTTTATTCTGGATGCACAGTTTGCTTAAGCGGATCAGAATCTGGTGATAAAAGATAATATGTACTGTACATAAATACAAAGCCAGGGGAAATATGAGTTGCTACCATAGTGAATATACCTATTTGATACTTTGAAGCATTTTATCAACATACCTCCATAACAATATTGTAGTTGTTGCTCTTGTTACTGTCAATCTGAGGTTTCTTACTCCCATCCTGGACTGGACTTAAAATATTTGACTCCTATAATTAAAAAGATAGGGAGGGAGGGGAAAATTTAACTCCAAAATCTTGAAATGCAGTACCAACATGCATGGAAACCATGTAAAACAATCTTCCACTAACAGTGGGCAAATATTAACCCAAGGTGAGCTAGAGAATTAAAGTACAGAATTCAGAAGTAAATCCCACTGAGTTCAACAGGGCTTAGTACCAAGATAAATAGGCACAGGATCACAGCCTAAAATGCTAATGTGTCCAGCACAAAGAAGGTATGATAACTGTATGAAAATTGATATTGATATTGATAATATACACACTATAAAATGTCTCTTCAATTTTTGTTATTTCTTGTTAGTATTTGGATTAGTTTTAGAATTTGTGTTATTATTTGCAGAGTGTTCATAGCAACTAAGCATTGCATATAACTCAAAATAATGATACATGCCCTGGCCTCAGGTTTACATATATGAGACTAGAGACCCAATGAAAGACAGCTGGAGGGAAAAGGTCAGAAGAAGGAAATCAGTCTGGGGATGTCAGAGCAGGGAAGAGCTGAATTTCTAACATGCACTGAATCCAACTTCTTTTTGCTAGGAAAGAGGAGGTGCAACTTTTCAGCAGCCTTTGATCTTTATACAGTGATACCTCGGGTTACATACACTTCAGGTTACAGACGCTTCAGGTTACAGACTCCGCTAACCCAGAAATAGTACCTCGGGTTAAGAAATTTGCTTCAGGATGAGAACAGAAATCGTGCAGTGGCAGCACAGTGGCAGCAGGAGGCCCCATTAGCTAAAGTGGTGCTTCAGGTTAAGAACAGTTTCAGGTTAAGAACAGACCTCCAGAACGAATTAAGTACTTAACCCGAGGTACCACTGTATTGTCTGAAATCTGGCATTTCTCCCTGCAATCCCATACAGTTACAGTAGCCATTATCCAGTATTTAGCACTAAGTATCTCTCCCTCTGGGACGCGGGTGGCGCTGTGGGTAAAAGCCTCAGCGCCTAGGACTTGCCGATCGAAAGGTCGGCGGTTCGAATCCCCGCGGCGGGGTGCGCTCCCGTTGCTCGGTCCCAGCGCCTGCCAACCTAGCAGTTCGAAAGCACCCCCAGGTGCAAGTAGATAAATAGGGACCGCTTTCTAGCGGGAAGGTAAACGGCGTTTCCGTGTGCAGCTCTGGCTCGCCAGATGCAGCTTTGTCACGCTGGCCACGTGACCCGGAAGTGTCTTCGGACAGCGCTGGCCCCCGGCCTCTTGAGTGAGATGGGCGCACAACCCTAGAGTCTGGCAAGACTGGCCCGTACGGGCAGGGGTACCTTTACCTTTACCTTTTTATCTCTCCCTCTAAAAGGAAAGTCAGGTGATAAGTGTCAATAATATTGGAACCTAACATGCATGTAAGAAGGAACCCAAGGTTTGCGGAAGGAAGGAAAGAAGGAAGGCTAAGAAAATAAAACTGTAGTGACAAAAACCCCTAAAACAGCCCAATGAGAACTGAGCATCATTCTAGTCAGTTGGAGCAGAAATACAGAAAAAGACAGTGGTGCACATGGAAGACAGTGGTGCACAAAGGGTACCAAAGGGTATTCCAGAGATGCAGTTATAGAAAGATAATCACACCATCAACAGAGTTGTGACATTCAGCTGCATATCTTCTAGCCTTATGTCATGTGATAGACACTCCCTCATCATATCCTTCTAGGGAAGGGACCAGAAACTATTTGCATTCTGCTGGGAATATTTACATCCATACCAACTGAAAAGCAGTTGCTTATTCTCTTTGTAAAAGAAACATACTGCCCCCAAACTTGGCATGCTAGCTCTATATAGCATTCTCTTGCAGAGAGATTGAGTTGTTCCTTCTCCCTGCTTCAGCCCAGCATAGCAGCATGCTCTGTTTCACAAAGGTCAGCACTGTAGAGGTTACTCACCTCAAGGGTTGCCATGAAAATCCGGACACAAAAGTGTGAATCCATCCACAAAAGTTGTTGAGCTTCTTTAATCTACACTCCCAACATGGCCTGCCGTACGTCCAGATTTCTTCAGACATTTTAGCAACTGCCACTCATACGCTCCTTAAGGGGGCTGAATACCGGCTGTGTCTGGGAAGTTCTAGACGTATGACAACCCAACTCACCTCTTCCTTCTAGTTTTAAAGGGTTGGGTTTATGGGTAGCTACCCTGTGTCTGCCCTGGGTAGCTTAGGGCACAACAGGTGTTAGGTGCCAGGCGTGTTTTGCGTCTGGCACGGGTCCAATTGTGACCACATGGAGATCTCTGGATGCCAGGTTGGCAACCAACATCTCCATCTTGCCCCTACAGAAGAGCTTGTTTATTGCATTTATCTCCCACCTTTTTCTCCAACGAGTACATGGCTGACCCCCCCCCTTTCTCAGTTAATCCCTAAAAAGACCCTGTGAGGTAGGTTAAGAGGCTGTGGCTCACCTCAAGGTCACCCCATGAGATTTATGACTGAGTAAGTCACTTTGGACTCGTAGCTGTCCATGGAGGCGCAGGCAGGTCAATCTGGTATGCAAGTTGAGACCCTCCCTGCCCACAGACTGTCTTACCAGAGTGGTCCATGCTCTGGTTATCTCCTGCTCGGACTACTGCAATGTGCTCTACCTTTGAAGGTGACCTGGAAACTACAATTAATCCAGAATGCGGCAGCTAGACTGGTGACTGGGAGTGGCCGCCGGGACCACATAACACCGGTTCTGAGAGATCTGCATTGGCTCCCAGTACGTTTCCGAGCACAATTCAAAGTGTTGGTGCTGACCTTTAAAGCCCTAAACAGCCTCGGCCCAGTATACCTGAAGGAGCATCTCCACCCCCTTTGTTCAGCCTGGACACTGAGGACAATGAACTCTGCATTTCAGCTGTTATCTAACAAGAGTTGTAAATATAACAACAGTCACCCTACAACATCTAGCAATTCTCAGAAGGGAAGTTAAAGTAACAATATGAATAAACCATTAACACAAAGTCATAAGAAACTATTTGCATGTTAAGAAAGGGAAAGTTTAGTAAATAGTGGAAACATTCATGCCCAGTATGCCTGAAGGAGCATCTCCACCCCCATCGTTCAGCCCAGACACTGAGGTCCTCCTCCAAGGACCTCTTCTGCTGGTTCCCTCCCTGCAAGAAGTGAGGTTACAGGTAACCAGGCAGAGGACCTTGGTAGTGGTGCCCGCCCTGTGGAACGCTGTCCTATCAGATGCCAAGGAAATAAACAACATCTGAAGGCAGCCCTGTTTAGGGAAGTTTTTAATGTTTGATATTTTATTGTGCTTTTTAATACCCAGCCAGATGGGGGGGGGAGTATAAATTATAAATTATAAATTGTTAATTACTACTACTACCACGCAGTACCAGCACCTGTCTTTTTTTGTTAAAAAGTGTGGCACCAAAACAACTTCATGGTGAGTACCAGTACCTGTTTCTTTAGAAAAAGACATTGCCAGCAGTGTTGTTTTTCTAGAAAAAGAGGTGACAGAACCCACCACAAACACCTCCCTCATTCTCTTAGAATGGCAATGGTGTATTGGGTTGAGTGAGTGAGAGTGTATTCTTTCATTTTCAGAAATAGAAAGAACATAAAACAAAACTCTGGTGAAATGTGTTTTAGGGACATTTTAACTGTTGCCCAGTTTTACTGTGTAAACCAGCTTGAGAACCTTTTATTGAATGGTGGCATATAAATATTCTAAATAAATAAAAGTGAAACAATGTGTAGGGATCAAAACAAAAACACCCACCTCAATGGGCTCATCACTTCCTTTTGCCTGACTTTCGCCCAGCTCTCCACTTTCATAACTGCTGTTCTTTTCAACCCAAAGTTCAGATTTTTCTACAGTAAGCCTTAGCTGGTCAAGATCAGCTTTAATTTGCTTGTAGTTATCCACATCTTGATTAGATACCAGCAACTGAACCTGTAAATCCCAAAATTTCACAAAAGTTTCACTACATTATTTTTTTAAAAGATGTCATCAGAGCTGCATTTTGTACTATAGTTGCAATCAACTCCTTGATTTGACTTTTTATAAGGCCCATTGATTATTTTTTTACCCTTCAACAGATCACATTAGCAAGCCAAAGAATATTTTTTATACATAAAAGCAAGTGAAATCTTATGGTTCACCCATTGATACACATCACTTATTTCTGCATCAACTGATTACTCAACAATTGACAACTTGCAGCTAAATGTATGAACTGATTCAATGGAGAATCACTCTTTTGGTGAAGATATGAAAGTTCCTTCTCATCTCATTTGATGTACGATGGCTCACTTACGCATGCAAATTGCCACTTAATGCTTTAGTTGCCTGGTGATTAACATGTATGAACAAACCAGTTCAAAAATAAAGATACTGAATGTGGACTTTACACCAAGGTAATATATCATTTTAACTGATGAAAGAAAATGTGGCAATCACTGAAATTATGAACTCCAAATCTGAACAGTGATAAGAAAAATGACAAACTTGAAACAGAATTGGGAAGTTACGGTAATATGAAAACATTTGAAAAGAGACATTTTAGGCATCTAGTAAGAAATGAACAAAATGTAAGTTATTTAATGGGGAAAACACATTAATGTGTGTGAATTCTTTGGATGCGCCTCTGCAAAATTAATCAAATTAGAAAAAATGGTAACCTCCTTTTTCTTTTTAATATGGGGGAAATTGTCATTTTCTCCTAATTCAACTAATTTTGCAAGAAGACATCCAGATCCCTTTTTGAACATCAGGGATTATTTCCTTCATAATGCAATAATATGGGGGGGGGGTTCCTAAAATGACTTACAATTTGTTCATTTTCTGACAAGATGTCTAGAACATCTTTCTTTAAAAGGTTTTCATTATGATTTCTCAATTTATCAACGTCTGTAAAATTGGTTACAAGGCTGCATGCTTGCAAAGATTATTAATGAAGACATTGAATGAAACTGAAGTTGTCAGTTTTCCCTACATTAATTCTATAAACACTGTGACAAGGCTTGTATAAAGCAGTACAAAAAGATAATACCTAACATCAGCAAATATTCCTCTACTGCAGAGGACTCTTGCTATTTAAGGTTTTGCATGTTTTTCTATATAAACATGCAAACGAACAGAAATCTCAGCTAGCTACACCTTTGCAGGTTGGTGCCCATTTCTTCCCAACAATGCAGATTCAGAATTCTGTTACATAATTTATGGATGACTTCATTAATTAGATTTTAAGAAAAATTCTGCACCAGGGTAAGTTAAATACTATGACACTGAGAAAAGACTGTAACTTAGTGGTAGAGCACCTGACATGCATGCAGAGCATCCCAAGTTCAACCCTTACTGCATCCAGGCAGGGCTGGGAATGTTCCCTGTCTGAAATCCAGGAGAACCCCAGCGGCTCAGAATAGGCAATACCAAGCCAGCTGAACCAATGGGCTGACTCAGTGAAAGCAGCCTCCTGTATTCCTATCACACCAGATGCCATGTCTTCAATTGGCCTAAATTATGCAGATAAACAACACTTGTATTGTTGCTCTTATTTTGCAGAATCTATTCTGCAGTTTTTTGCTATGAAAAAACAATTCGCTTTTTTGCTAAATTTGGATGGAGAAAGAACCTATACAAGGTAATGAAGCCTCTTACTACTCTTTGAAATTGTTATGTGAAATTTCCTCAAGCTTTGTCCCACATTTTAAAGAACAATCTTTGCAAATAGAAAGGCAAGAAAGTTGCTTTAAAAAACAATCTGAGTTTTTTTAGGTAGGTGAACACTGCAGGTCATTCATTATTTTTCTGATGCTTTTCTGCATTTACATAGCATCCTGGCACACACAGCCTTGGGTATCTCTTACTCCTGAATAATCATCTCCCATCTTTTGCTGGAGCAAGTTCATTAATTTCCCAATTAGGTCCTTTTCCTGCCACAAAACATGTCAACCATTCAGCTGTCACTTAACAGAGAACTGCAGCTAATAAGCATAGTACCATTTTAATGGAAGGTAGAAGGTCATTATGCAGCAACTGTCAAACACCAAAAAAGAATCTTCTTTCCTATGTGTTACTTGTACAAGCTTGGAAGAGGGGAAAACTTTGCACGCTGTATGCCTCTGGTACAGCCCAGTTAAAACACTGCAGTAAGTGGGTCAGGGAGGGTTCTCTCTCCTGAAAAGCAGCATCAGACAAGTCTTCAAGTCTTCCATCAACACAGACACAGGCACTGCATAAATGTTCTGGCTAAATTCTATAGGAGGGAGACTTACTGACCTACATCACTAGCAACTGAAAAATATGTAAAGAAATAGCTTTAATTGGTTGCTCTACCTGTTTAAAGGCTTGCAAAACTTCTGCTCGTTGGCTGAAGTGTTTAAACAACAGCTGCAGGGCTCCAGAAAGCAAAGGAGGGTAGTCATGCATAATAAGGTGAATGAGGACTCGCAGGAATGTCCTGCCACCTTCATCATCCAGCTGCACTGCATTTTTTTCTTTTCTGCACAAAAAACAAAAAAACAAAAGGCTGATAAGGCAGTAGCTGAGAGCTGGCTGGAACACAGCCAAAGCTCACAGGAAGCACAAACAGGAGCGAAAAGCGAGACAGACAGCCTTTCGTCACAGGAAGGGGAGGCAGATGACCCAAGGAGCCCGAGACGTAGACGAATAGGATGGCTGATAGACAGGAAACAAAACAAGAGACGTAAGGGTCACAGGTTCGATATCTTCTGTCGATGCCAGAAGAACTCTTCAGAAGGGTCAACTTAAGTAATGATGCCAGATGTTTTATTTGCGGCTCAGCAACACACACGGTGCAACAGTGTGCAGACAGGAAGCTCCAGGGATCCCTGTCAGGGGCGAGCCTGGACCCAAAGCCTGAGCGCATCTAAGACACCTGGGAGCGCCCCTGTGCTCTTCGTGAAGAAACACGACACCTCAGAGTTGAGGCTCTGCAATGATTACAGACTCCTGAAGTCTGTAATCATTGAAGTCTGACAGTGCCCAACCGCTATCCCCTGCCACGCACTGGGGATCTGCTGGAGAGGCTGAGATCAGGAAAGATCTTCACAAAGCTCGACTTGAGGGCAGCTTACAACCTGATACGGGTGAGAGTGGGAGATGAGTGGAAGGCCACCTTTTTTACAATTTATGGCAGTTTCAAGTACCTAGTCATGCCGTTTGGATTACAATCCAGAACTGCGATGTTCCAGGTGTTCATCAATCATGTGTTGGGGGGTCTAGTGGACTCTACAGTGTTGTGTTATCTAAATCTCTTGATTTACTCAGACACCCTGGAAGAATGCGTAAAACACATGGAAGAAGCGCTGCAGCGGCTCAGAGAAAATCGGTTGTATGCCAAGTTAGAAAAGGGTCAGTTCGACGTGACCAAGGTGGAGTTCTTGAGCTATCGCATCACCCCTGAGGGAGTACACATGGATCCCGCCAAGGTGAAGGCAGTGGTGATGTGGCAGGAACCCAGAACCAAGAAAGACTTGCAACGATTCCTAGGTTTCGCGAACTACTACTGTAAGTTTATATCCAGATACTCGAGACTAATGTCTCCCCTCATGGATTGTTTAAGGGGTAAGAGACTGTTCCGATGGACAAAAGAGGCCCAGAGGGCCTTTGAGAGACACAAGGCCATGTTTGACTCAGAAGAGTACTTAGCACATCCCGACAAAACAAGAGACGTAAGGGTCACAGGTTCAAACTGTCAATGCTAGAAGAACTCTTCAGAAGGGTCAACTTAAGTAATGATGCCAGATGCTTGGCTAGAGCAGTCCGGAGCTAACTGCTTGTTTTTGCAACAAATCCTCCTTTTTAATTATGTACGTTTACTGTGTTCTCAAGCCTAGACTCCTAACACTTAATATGGTTCTGAATGATATGCTACTGGTGGAAGGAGACAGAAGGAACGAGAGCACAAAGCAGGCTCATGCTAGGGTTGCCATTTTTAAAAAGTGAAAATCTGGACACAAAAGTTGTTTTGTGGAGCGGTGAGCTTTTTTTAGCAAAATCTCAGGGGGGAAATGACATTTTTGAGCTATTTTAAGGAAATTTGCCAAAAAATAAACACTTCTAACAGGAGCCCTAGCTCAGGTTCAGCTGCACAATAAAGCTAATTGTACTTACCACAAGTGGGTAGCAACCTAGGAGCTGTGACCAAGGTTTGTTCTTGGGTTTACAGCTCATGATTTGCCTGGTGCAAGACAAACCATGAGTCACAGCTCAGCCAAACCATAGCTTAGCAGTGCAGCGGCAGGAGGACTAGAGGAAGAGCAATATGGCTACAATCTCCTTTCTAGGAACATGTCTGGCTTAGCATTATGTACGAACCAGTTCAGTGTAACAAGAGATATTGTGTGTGTGTACACGCACACACACATGTCACACAACAAAACTAGTTATAAACAATACAAAATAGTAAGACCAACAGCATAAAATCAGTTTAAAACCACCATAAACTAGCAAGCGTAAAGAACTTGAATATATAAAAGGATGTCACATAGAGGAGGGAGAAAGGCTGTTTTCTGCTGCTCCAGAGAAGCGGACATGGAGCAATGGATCCAAACTACAAGAAAGAAGATTCCACCTAAACATTAGGAAGAACTTCCTGACAGTAAGAGCTGTTCGACAGTGGAATTTGCTGCCAAGGAGTGTGGTGGAGTCTCCTTCTTTGGAGGTCTTTAAGCAGAGGCTTGACAACCATATGTCAGGAGTGCTCTGATGGTGTTTCCTGCTTGGCAGGGGGTTGGACTTGATGGCCCTTGTGGTCTCTTCCAACTCTATGATTCTATGATTCTATGATGCAAAAATGTAAAAGCACTATAAACTGAAAAACTCTACTCAGTTATGTGTCTGAGAAGCTATGGCTTGATCACTAGATAGCTCTGACAATGAGGTTTATCTTATTATTTATAGGTTGCTTTTCAGAGTATCCTCTTCTAAGCCATCTCACAATATATCAAAAACATTACAGCCATAACAAACAAAACACATAAACCAAACACATAAAATATATAAGTAGCCTGACCAGATTCCATGATGAGAGGTGTTGCATTTCTGGAATACTGAAGCTCACACATTGTTCACTGGGCTCATTTCAACAGCTATTTATTTATTTAGTCAACTTAGAATATCTCAAAGCAGTATAATATAACCAGCAAATAAAAACATTTTTAAAAAATCAAATATTCAGTCTATATCTACTAGATAGAAGCTACTGTGATTCAAGGCTGAATCATTAAAATGTTTATAAAGCATTCTACAAATTAAAAGTTCTACCACTGAAGTAGCAGTACATCAGCAAGCAGGAGAAAGGGAAAAGAGTAAACAGGAAGTGTTTGTTAGTATTACAAAGCAGGAGGATGGTGGGGGGGAGGCGAAGTTGGCCAAGTATAAAAATGGAAGGAATGGAGCCATTTTAGAGCTTACCTGCCAGCAAACATAGTTTCTGCTTCAGCAGCAATTTCATCTATATTAGGAACAACTCCTATGAAATGAGATTTTGGTAAAGTTAGCAATACAAAAATTACTACACCCCCTTACTTATTTTGTCCTAGGAATGAACGACCAACAGTGACTGGTATGACACAAAAAAAGAAATCAAAGGACACTATTACCACATTGTCCAAGGATGACAGCAGCTCACTCACTAGCCTTTTGACCACAGCATCTCACCTATGCTTGGTCACATAACCCACAAATAAGAAGCAATAAATAAAAATAGGGCAACTAAACTTCAAGTTACTGAACAAAACAGAACACCTACGTACGATCCAATTCTTGGAATGCATGTTCAAACAATACTCAACCTCTGGGCACAGGGAGCAGGCACTTTCTCCTCCACCAAAAATCATACCTAGAACGTAACAACTAAACTGGAAAATAAAGTCCCTGATCCTGTGATCTGACTTTGCATTACAGAGCCAGAGAGATTTCACCATCAAATAAATGCAGTACCTATTACATTCCCTGTACAATTGGAGAACGTGAGTCAAAGAGCAGGCATGCGAATCCCCAAACTGATTTGCAATTTTCCCACATGTGCAAGCGAGGCAGCAGTCTGGAGGACAGCCACAAGAGACTGGGTCTTTTCAGTCATAGCTTAAGGGTACCAGACGTCCCTGTTTCACGGGGACAGTCCTCAGATTTACAAATCAGTCCCGTGGCAAAATCCTGTCATTCCTACTGAAGTTGAAAAGTGTCCCCGGATTCATTGAAAAAAATCTGGTAACCTTATCATAGCTTCCCATCTATGGAATACTTTCCCCAGGGAGGCTTGCCTGGAGCCAACATTGACATTTGTGTGTGTGTCAGTCAAAGATGATTCTCTCCTGCCAGGCATTTGACCATAAATTTTCCACAGGGCTATTGGTTTGGAGGCAAAGTCTAAGGCCGGAATGTGTGTGGAGGAATTTGTGTTACAATCTGACCACCGTCTCATCTATATTAAATTGATTTTCAACATTGCACTCTTAGCTGGATTTATTTTTTTTATAAGTCATTCAAGACTTTTGTTGGAAACAACTCATAAATTGAGTAAGGTCTGAAGCATTGTCAGAATTGTCCAGCCATTATCTCCAAAGTTTCCCCACATTTGAGTTTCTGAACATTTTGCCTAAACTAGTAGGTGAATGCCCACTCATCTTTTATTTCAACACTTATTGAAAGGAATCATCATTATGTTGAATTATTCCACTTTAATAACAATACCTGATGTAAGAGTTGGTGTGTCAGGGGGAGATGTCACTGAACTATCAACATTTTCACTGCTCTCTCCAAATTCCTTCTTGTAAATTGACAGCATGTACGATATTCTGTAGTCAAGCCGAACGCTAAGAATAAACTACAAAGCAAGATTGACACAACACATTTCTGAACCTCTGTGCAAGTTTTCTGAAGCATCTGAAGATGATTTGCTTGTGAAACCAAGGTTATTATTGTTGCCTTAAAAGGTATGTAATAAAATGCAATATTTCAAAAGATCACACGTTTTTGGAAAACTACTGTTAGCAGATCTGTTAATAGAAACTGTCTTCTATAGTGCAAATAAATCAGGCACATGTGTTGAATAGGGGAGCAATTTGATTTTGCTTGCATTTTAATGAGAAACTACCTAATTCACACTTCTCGCACCAGAATGTGCACTGAGACACAGCTATCCTTCAAAAGTCGCACTTCTCAAAATTTTGTTGCAGTTCTTCAACCAGTGTGTACAAAAATGCATATTTTAGGGAAATGTGTACAATAAAATGAACTCCTTTGGGAAAATAACAAAAATATAGTGTATAGGGATAAATTGGTTGCAAAATGTGCATACTGGTTAAAATTTCGTACAAAAATGTGTATATTAGAACTGCACATTAAACTTTTCATGAGGATTTTAAATAAACAAAGAAATCGCAAATTGATGTAGAAATGTACAAATGTGGAAAACAGAATTTAAAATTGGAAAACTGAGAAACTGAGAGAAATTGAAGTTGCCAGATTAGTCTATTACTAGCCATAACTCTAGTGAAAACTAACTAGCTGGTGAGATGGCCTTGTGCTGGAGTCAAAACCCCACACCACAATTCAAAAACTGGAGTCACCATAACCACAAGCCTTCACGCTCATGCCTTGATGTTACAGTACATAATATATATTGTTGGTGCCTCGTTTCATTTTAAAAATTTAAAGTAAAGGTCTTTACCTGTAAAATCTCAATGATTTTAAATTTGGTGTCCATCACAGTGACATCTTCACTCTCTACAATGTTGGCTTGCTTGCTTGGGTGGACACTTGGGGGTACATCAGGTACAGAAAGAGGAAAAATAGAACCTCTGCTGAGGACCATTTGAGTCATCATCTCTCCCACACCATGAATGGTTCTCATAACATTGTTTCCTATGTATATGAAATATAAAAACAGAAAGTTGTCACTCTGATGGGCAATTGCCTCTCTGGCTGAAAAAGAAGATATTAAATTTAAATATATATGTATTAATAAAATAGCCCAATGCTCCAAGCACATCTACATTATCAAATGTTCTTGCAGAGTCTACAAGTTGAGTTAACTGAAGATCTCTTTAGCTTCCTAACCAGACTGTTTCAGTCCCTAGTTCTTCTAGAATATGATGGGTTTATGTATCAATTCAAAAGATAAGGGGTAAGAATTTGTTACTGCTGCTGTAGGGTCTCAGAAATATGTTCTTATTCTCTCTCTCTCTCTCTCTCTCTCTCTGTGTGTGTGTGTGTGTGTGTGTGTTTGTATTCATAACTAATGCCATCTTCACTTCTGTACAATTGTGCTTGCTAAATTAATGCTGTCTTTGTTCTGTTTCCTGCTGAAGAATCTGTCAGGAGTTTCATTCTAAGAAATGTGTCAGCAGTTTATAGCCAATCAAGGGGTAATCTGTCTTTTCTTTAGAAGCTGTTTCTCTGTTAGGGATACTAGTTAATTGCCCCTTATCAGCTCTGGCAGTGGAATGTAACAAAAGGAGGTGCCTGTGTTAAGGAGTTACTTTTCCTGTGTCTAGTGCTCAAGGCTGATCGCCGAAGAATTGATGCTTTTGAATTATGGTGCTGGAGAAGACTCTTGAGACTCTTGAGAGTCCCATGGACTGCAAGAAGATCAAACGCATCCATTCTTAAGGAAATCAGCCCTGAGTGCTCACTGGAAGGGCAGATCGTGAAGCTGAGGCTCCAGTACTTTGGCCACCTCATGAGAAGAGAAGACTCCCTGGAGAAGACCCTGATGCTGGGAAAGATGGAGGGCACAAGGAGAAGGGGGCGACAGAGGACGAGATGGTTGGATAGTGTTTTCGAGGTTACCAGCATGAGTTTGACCAAACTGCGGGAGGTAGTGGAGGACAGAGGTGCCTGGCGTGCTCTGGTCTATGGGGTCACGAAGAGTCGGACACGACTAAACGACTAAACAAAGTGCTCAAGGGCTATTAACCAGCCTGGTCTTTATTTACAGCCAAGAAGCCCCTGAGGAGGGAGGAGGGTGGAGAAAAGTTTTTAAAACTCTAGACTTCCTTGTGCCAGCATTTTCCAGTTCCTTTGTTGGGCATGCTTGCGCTACCTTTGCTCAGCTGATTAAAGGTGTTCATTGGAATATCCATGTCTCTGCCAATAATTGATTCTCTATGACAAAGACAGTTCAGGGTTTGAAAGCAGACCCATCATATGGTGCCAGAACGTGGAGCTAAGAAGGCATTAATTTTGCCTGTCATATTGCCCTGTTTATGAGCTGTGCCTTCTGACCGACTCTGGTGAGAAACCGGGGCACGGTTTTTGAAGTATCGGCACACCTCGGGCACCTCCAAAGGAGACCCCATAACACACACACACACACTGGCAGACCTCGAGAAGTCACGGACGAACGCTAAGGAGATCCATTCTGGTTAGGACCTTTGATCGTGCTCTATAAAACAGCTTGTTAACGTGAGTATTAATAGGGATGTCATGTGAATGGTGAAAGAGTGTGAATCTGTGAATGTCTGAAGAGCTGTAACTGTTCTGGAGGAAATTAGGATCTGTAAAACAGCTGGCTTTAAATCAGCAGGGGAAGGAAAGGCCGTTCCTGACGTGTGTGTCAAGCTAATAGGGCTGACCCATGAAACCTGCTTTGCCAGTCTGAGGTAGGAAGGTATAATATGGGTTTGGATGATTGTAACGTTGTTTCTGTCAAATTAAATTTTTTTTTTTGCAATGTGCCCCACCCCCACTCTCTGCCCATCCATGTGTTCCATTTAGCCAGTAGTCCCCAGAATTCAGACTGTTGAGGAAGAGAAGTCCCCTCCTCCTTCCTGCCCCCCATGACCTGCCCCAACCCAGAGTTTTGCCCTAACCTATTTTCTGAACCCGTGCCTCTTAAATCTGCCCCAGCCCTGTCTCAGCCCAGCTCTTCTGGACCCTGTCTCTGTCCTGGCTCTGACCCAATCACCTGCCCCGCACTCTGAAATAAACCCCAAACCCCCTGAAGAATCGGAAATGGAATCTGGAGCATCTGTCTCTTCAGAAGCAGACAGCCCTTCGTGCTGAGTTGTCTGTGTGATTTGTTTTGCCTGCTTGGAATGAAGGTCTGCCTAGATCAGCTCAGGATGAGTGACAGGCAGGAGGAAAGGGGGGAGGTTCTTCCCCCGCAGTTTAAGTCTGTCTGCCTATCTGGGAAATGTAAGAGGATATCTATCTTGTTATGTATTGAAGTTCTCACCCTGGCCACCAGGAGTATCGTGTATATAGTTGAAAGACCGAGCGAAATCACTGAACAGAACCAATTCAGAGCTGACCATTCTGGCTAGGGCACGGTGTTCCATCCATCGCCCTCCACGTCGGCATCGGAACCATGGCTTCACTTGTGCCTCTACCGCCGTTTGCCCCAGCCTCTGAATCATGGGACTCCTACCTCGCTCAGTTCGACTGCTACCTCCAAGCCAACGAGCTGACGGAAGTGTCAGAGGAGCGTAAGCGGGGCCTATTCCTCAGTCTCTGAGGGCCCGAGGGGTTCGAGACGGGCCGAGCATTGGTTGTGCCTCTAGCAGTCCAGGCAGAGCCGTGGGACACGATCCAAGAGAAGCTCCGCAACCACTACGCACCAAAGCCGTCCAAGATTGCTGCCCGCCATGTGTTTTACCACCGGAACCAGGCAGAGGGGGAGTCAATTAACAACTACACTGCCGCCCTCCGACAGGCCGCAATGCACTGCGAGTTCCGAGACTTAGACGATGCCCCTGATGGATCGAATCGTCTGCGGGGTCCGGGTCTGCAACAGCATCTCCTCGCCAAGCCAGACCTAACTCTGCAGAAGACCATTGAGGAGGCCATGGCCTCAGAAGCTGCTGAACTCTCCGCCCAGGAAATCCGCAAGGCCAGTAGCCCGCGTCTTGCTAAGAAGCCAATCCCTGTGCATCACGAAGAGGCCAGCAGTGATGAGGCATCCTCCCGTGAAGACGATGACGTGCATTAGACAAAGTGGGAGTGCAGGAAGTTCAAACAGAAGTCCACGGGCCAGTCATAATGTGCCGGCTGTGGAGGCAACTCTTCCCATGCCAAGTGTCGGTTCAGAGACGCCATCTGTAGGA